AACAGAGTCGTTTATGCAAAAGGTACATGCCTACACAACAAGGAAAATACTCACTGCGAGAGTTTTGTCATTCTTTCTTTTTAAACTGGTTCGTAAGGTTACAGTTCAAAAGTTGTATGTGAAGTTTATCAATCATCCGTGTCGAAAAACTCTACGTTCCCTGGTAGTGAACGGAGGAAAGTTCGAACAAGTTGTTCACGTCAGGATGAGGAATTAGTCATTGTAAAAGTGTGATGGTTACGGTGTCGTAAACTCTACGTTCTCCGGTAGAAAATTCAAGTTCAAACAAGTTGTTCGCAGAAAGTTGCAACCACATGAAGAGATTCGGCATGATGAGCCAAGGAGTTTACTAGGAAGTTTTTTTGTAGTTAAGATATTTCGGCCCGCGTATGGGTAAAGAGCGCGAAATAAATGAGTCGACCTTTTTGCTCGGAGACCAGGCAGCGACTGACTTGAAAAAAAGACACTGTTAGTCAGTGACGCCAGAGAAAGCGCGGAAAAAACTTCAAATTCTGTTCTAGCTGGAATCAGCAGCAGCCAGCAACTTCCTCACGTCTGCAGCAGACGGCTGCTTACTACTATATGTAGCCGAATGTGAAAGGAAGGGGTGCAATACGCGCGCGCACGTAAAAGTAGGTGTAATCCCTGCGCGGTTCCACAATAATAATAATAATGAAAATAATAAAAATGATAATGACGATAGTAATAATAATGGTAATAATAATGACAATGATAATGACAATAATAATATTAATAATAATAATAATAATAATGATAATACATGGAAGCAACAAAGAACTGGATGATACAATTAGCCAGACATCCAGCAAAAACAGAAAGAAAAAGTATTCAATTTTACATCTAGTAGATTCTGTATAAAATACAAACAGAACTCAAGAACCAAATGTGGCATCAAAACTTTTGAAAAAGTAAACCAAGGATAAAGTTCTTGAACAGATGAAACAACGTTGACAAGAGAAAACTGCATGGCGAATATCCAGAAAATGCTAATAAAGGCGATGTTGTTAAAGTTAAAACACGACGATGCTTACGGGTATCTGCATTGAGGCTGAAATTGAAGACTTATTCTTGCACCAGAGTCTTTTCACTAAGAACTTTCAGACAAGTATCATACGTAATAGTGTGGAACCAAAATGAAGGTTCCGTGACAAATATCTGGAAACCTTCCATGGTTCAGCAACATTTTGCTATCTATGTGCTGACTTAGAATTTTATAATCATTCAGTGTGCCAAGAGCATACGTATTTTTACACAATTTACCGTCAATATACCTGTTCTACTTTACATTTTATATAGTAATATATAGTATATATACTTTAGTATTTTTATGTTTATACATTCTTTTTATAGATACAGATATTTAAGTAAATGCTCTGTTTATAATAAACAGTATTAAAAATATTTACCGGCCTGAATGTCCGAGAAATTTTCATAGAAAATATGCGTTCTCCGACAGGAATCGAACCTGTATCCTATACGGAACCTTCATACAGCCTGACACGCCTTAACCGATCGTTAATTATCCAGCAATAGTTACAATGGATACTGTGAAAGCATTTTGGAAAAGATGTTAATAAACACTGGTATGGACGTCACCCAGCAACCATTACAGATATAGAAGACATCTCTCTATTGTTCTCTTGTATCTGGCGTCTTCCACAAGGTTTTATGTTAATGTTTTTCCCTCTATAAACGATGAGCCATGCCTGATTTCATTGCTTTGTCCCCACTTCCTTTATGGCTTTTCGGTGTTCTTTCAACAAGAATGAGGACAATAGTCCGTACATTAAATAATGATGGCCGGCTGTTAGCGCGAAATTTCCTTTGATTCCTATTAATACTAGAAAATATTTACTCAAATATAAACATGGAAATATTTCAGTTGAATTTTAATAGTGAGATGTTATCGGAATATATATTTTCTCCACAAAAAAAAATAAAAAAAAAATATTAAAGTTGAAGTTTGCGTTTCCCAAGAGTAAACTAAGAATTATATTTTTTTATCGACTGATTGAATCAGAAACTAAGACATCTTTAGTGAGAACTTCCCTGTGGCGTCGAAATCATTTTCCAACCTTTTCTCTCCTCGATTTATTTTAATTGATAATCGTTTCAGTAGCCATGATGAATTGAGTTTGTTCGATGTGAGCGTTTATTTTCTAGACGTATTTTTAGAGGTGATAAAAAAGATGAACGTAAAAGAAAAGCAATTCTTTACCCAAGACGCGGCTTTTGACAAAACAAGACAATTTAGGAATTTTAATGAGTTCAACTATAAACCAACCGATTTCGACAAAAGCCGAAGCCTCGGTGAGAATTTTAATTATTATTTTACATTTTACTCTAAATTGCTTTTGTTCACTTACAACCAAAAATCATATCTGGGTTTGAAAAGCAGAGAAATACCGTATATATATATATATATATATATATACACACACACAAAACACACACACACACACATATATATATATATATATATATATATATATATATATATATATATGAAAAAAATAGGGGAAAACAAACAAAAATCCTAATATGCAATTATGTTTTTAATGTTAATATAATATTAGGATATTAGGATTTTTGTTTGTTTTTCCGTATATTTTCTTCATACTGTCGGATCTATATCCATATATTTGCTTACATATATATATATATATATATATATATATATAGATATATAGATAGATAGATATTCAGTTGTATGGGTATGAATTTGTGACCCTTCGTTTCACGCATTTGAAAAACTGTTTTCATTTTTATATCTGAGAAGGGTCAAGAATATCTCTAGGCGCCACGTAAAAAGCCACGGGACCAACGCCGAAACAAAATTAAAATTGCGTATATATATATATATATATATATATATATATATATATATATATATATATATATGACCAAGCGCATGGATGTTTATCGGCGTCTGGCCTCGGATTGTTTTTATTGGTGCGTTTGTGTGGACCAAAATGCGTACAGCTGTATATGTGTGTGTCTATGTATGTGAGAGTGTTATACCGAAAAGTCACAGAGGGAAATTCCCCCTCCTACTACCAAACATAAACAAACAACCATAAAGAGAGTCAATTTTAAAAAATAAACCATTTTTGTCTGATGATCGCAAAAGCGGAAAACCCAGTGTCACAAAATCATATCCATACAACTGAAAATATATAAATATATATATATATATATATATATATATATTTGTAAAAAAAAATTATAACATAAATATGTTATAAAATCACAACAAAATAGCCATTTTGTTTCAAAATCTCCGGTGTCTTATCAAGTGATGATATTGAATGCAAAATAAAAGGTTTTAAAAGTTTCAAATTAATTAACGATCCTTCGCAAGGGAAAAACGCTGTTACAAAAGCTAGAATGACCAATCAAAATACAAGTATAGGAAAATTCAAAAGGCTTGACAACGAAGTCATGTTATAATAGCTATTCAAATATTTAAAATACGGGCAATACGTGGAGATGTTACCTGTCTCGTCATGTTTTTTGTGTGTATATATATATATCTAAATATGTCTGGGTGCTTATGTATTATAATCTGTTTTACGCGTGAGGTCAGGACCCCATTGGGATTAAAAATATATACACATATTGTCGGATGACCGGATGACGTAGCGTCTGTTCTAACGTAATTTCAACGAAGAAATAAATTGAATAACATATGTATTTCTTCTTTTCTCCTCAGTAATTTTATATTTTTTCAACTTAATATTGTTTAAATTTGGATTTTAAAATTGGCAGTTTTTAATATTAATATCAAATTTTATCATACAATTTAATAATTGTTGGTTAGAATAAATTCGTTTTTAATATTACCCGTATTTTAAGGATTTGAATAGCTATTATAACATGACTTCGTTGTCAAGCTTTTTGAAGACAGCGGGGGTGTTGAAACAAAATGGCTATTTTTGTAGTGATTTTATAACATATTTATGTTATAAATTAAAAAAAAATCATATCTGCTCCACTTTGTATTGAGCACTCTTTTAAGAATAGTAATTGTTGGTTATTGGAATTGTTTTCCGTATATACCAATTATATACTTGGGTATACACACACACACACACACACATATATATATCTTTGCCCGTGTAAGTTATATTTAATAGTACGTTTGAATTCGTTTAATAACACTTTCAAATTTGAATATTTCTTGCTGTGTATATGTGTGTGTGTTTTTATCAATGTATGTGTGTATAATTTTTTTTGTAAGTTTCGTGGACACCTATTTCCTGTTTCATCCGATTTTTGCGTGTTTATATATCTAAATACGTCTTCGTGTTTGTGTATTATAATCTGATTGTGTAAGTATTGTCTTTTGCAAGATTTCAACCTCACCGGTCAATATCATCACTCCAAATATATCTAAGTTGTAACGAAGCTTAGAGCAACATTAGATTTTAACTTTTATTCTAACTGAATGTTTGGCCTTTCAATAAAAACAAAATAAATAACAAAACGTATTTTTTCTCAGTTTCTTCTTTAAATAATTTTATATTTTTTAAACTTAATATAAATTAAATTTAAAATTGGTAATTTTTAATTTTAAATTTTATAGTAGAATTTAATATTAATTAGTTAGAATGGTTTCTAATTTAGTCTAGCCCTAACATTAAAGCATTAATTATTATAAGCAAGGTTTGTTTTCAATTTTTTTTTGTATTCTCATGTACTTGTATTTTGATTGGTCATTCTAGCTTATATAGCAGCGCTTCCCCTAGCAAGGGGCGTTTGATTGATTTGAATCCTTTAAAACCCTTTATTCTACATTCAACACCATCATTTGATAAGACACCAGAAGTGTTGAAACGAAATGGCTATTTTTGTATTAATTTTATAAAGTTATTTTATAATTTTCGAATAAAAATATATATATATATATATATATATATATATATATATATATATATATATATATATATACTCACACACACACACACACACACACACACAGATAGATAGATAGATAGATAGATAGATAGATAGATAGATAGATAGATAGATAGATAATTATGCCTGCTGGTCCAGTGGTATGATTCTTGCGTTGTATGGTAACGGCCCGTTCGGTAGTGGATTCCACTGCTGATGATTCTCAAAAACGACGAAAGAGGGGTATTGCATTTCCTGCATTCTCCTGAGCATTTTTGTTCTTGACTCGATAAATTATCATCTGAATTTATTCAATTCGACAAACACTTTCCATTATCATTATATATATATATATATATATATATATATATATATATATATATATATATATATATATATATAAGTGGACATTGATGTATGCCAACTCAAAGAGGTGACGGTTAGGTCCTGACGATTGCCTATTTAGCATGAAACAGACTGTCGCGAACATTGAAATCAAGACCCAGAAGGGTGTTAAATTCAGTGTCTGCTTTTATATTTACATACACTCTATTCCGGATATTGAGCACATACAGTCGACGAGAAAATTATTTGTACACTGATCAATTTTGAATATATTTATCCATTTCTCAGAATCTAATGCCCATATAATACCAGATTTTTTATGTTAATAAGCACAAAAAGGACTATAAAACTCTATTTTCAGAACAATAGGTTAAATACAAATGTTTTTTGGTGAACGACGATTTATGAGCATTTTTTATATCTTCCCATAGATTTTTAATAGGATTCAAGTCAGGACGCCATGGCAGAATAGTAATCTGTTTCTGAATCACGCAGTCACTGATTTAGACGTATGTTTTGGGAATATTATCTTGCTGGAAAGTAAATCGGCAACTTAGATGAAGATTTTGCGCTGATAGCTGTACATTTTCACACAGTTTTTTCATATAGTCTGCAAGCTTTCAATTCATATTGCAAGCAACTGTCCAGATCCACTTCAGCTAAAACAACCCCAAATCACCATTGAGCCGCCACCATGTTTTAATGTTGCCACTGTGTTCTTTTGAAGGAAAGCCTCAGCTTTCTTGCGCCAAATCTTCTGTACATCATTATGTCCAAAAAGCTCAAATTTTATCTCATCACTCTAATTCTCAAAAGCAATTTTCTTTTTCTATGGGGTTTTGGCAAAATTAAAACGAGCAACAATGTGACATAGTTTGTGAAAAGCGGTACGTCATGGTCAGTTTCCATACAACCCATTTCTATATAACCAACGTTGTATTGTAGGAGTACTTACGCCGATACCCATTGTATCCAAACTTTTGGCGATGTCTTTCAATACAACTCTTGGGTTGATATTAACCTCGCTACACAGTTCTCGTGCAGATCTCGGGGAGAGATTATTTTTCTTTGACGCCCAGGCAAATTTTCCGTTGTGCCAAACTGTATAAACTTCTTTATAACAGACGGTACCGTAGATCCAGGGATAGCTAACCGGTTTTAAATAGTTCTGTAACTATTTTCCGACTTCTGGAAGTTAATAATACTCTGTCTCAAGTTAACGCAAAGGTCCTTTGTCTTACCCATTGAGTTGATAACATAAATACAACAATGGTGACACTCTAAGCAATACATGACGTTATTTTCTGGAATTACGATAAATATTCTACTGAATAAATAGTCTAGAAGACTTCACCGATGAAATAATTATTCAAATTACCGCTACTGACACGAATTAAAGCGATATATTCTATTCTACGAATAATTTTGTCTTTTGATATTTTGCTTAATTCGTCGGTCAAATCTTTGTATTTAATGTATTCTTCTGAAAATCTGGTTTTATATTTCTTTCTTTGTGTTTATTAACATAAAAAAAACTTGGTATCATACCGGTATTAAATTCTGAGAAATGGATAAAAATATTCAAAATTGTTGGTGTACAAATAATTACGTCGTTGACTGTAAATATATAATACATTAAAAAACTATATTATATCATTTATTTAAGTTATTTATATAATTAAATTTGAAGTTTTTTAGCTTCGGTTTTTGAAACATGGTAATTCCTGTGTAGCGAAGGAATCATATTTTAAATCTGTTAATTTCTGTATATATTATATCATATATATATATATATATATATATATATATATATATATATATATATATATATATATATATATATATATATATATATATATATACACATATATATATATATATATATATATATATTATATCATATATATATATATTATATCACATATACATATATATTATATCATATATATATATATATATATATATATATATATATATATATACATATATATATATATATATATATATATATATATATATATATATATATATATATATAGGGTGTATCAGAAATTTACAAATTATGGGGCTGTTCCTCACACCAAAACAAGAACAAAAATCCATATATTCTTAATTTCTTGTTATTAAGTTTAATGAGAGTTTACGATAGATGTCGATGAGTTGCCATGTAGACTAGATTATATCTGACATTCGTGTATATGTGTGGCTAGTCTGTATTCAACGTTTAACCGAATTAATTGAGAAGTATTCAGTTTAACAATGGCCTGATATTCAGATCATGTGTAGGCAGATATAATTTTTACATGCGGCCGCACAAACTTTAATAGACGCGAGGCTTGACAGTAGTATCACATTGCGTTTCCAGACAGAAGACAGCCGAGTCATCCAACCTTTGCGTTGCTGAGACAGGATCCACAGCACCATAAACTATAGATCGAGGAAGACTACGAAGAACACGTTCTACAGGCTGTCGGAGATAATACTGTTATCAGCACACGCTTATTGGCCCTAGCATGATTTACATGTCATAGTATCGTATGGAGTGCAATTCAAGAACAGATCTTGTATCTATTTACAACGTACGCAGGGTCGTTCGCCTTCTGATCATTTACCACAGGAGGAATTTTGCCGATCGTTTTTTGCCCAAACTGGCGATCCGTTGTTTGTCTCCTTGATTACGGGTAAGGCAGCCTTTGAAAGAGATGGAATAACAAATTTGCACAACCAACATATGTGGGCGGATCGGAATCCGCATACAGGCTAGACAACAGAATCAGTTTAAGATTAATGCTTTGGCTGGAATTGTAGGTGTTCTTGTTTGGTGTGAGAACCCGCCCACAATCTTTGTAAAAATATTTTTGATACACCATATATATATATATATATATATATATAATTATTATTATTTATAAAAAATTATAACATAAATATGTTATAAAATCACTACAAAAATAGCCATTTTGTTTAAAAAATAACCATTTTGTTTGAAACAAAATGGCTACTTTTGTAGTGATTTTGTAACATACTTATGTTATAATTTTTTTATAAATAATAATTATATCTGCTCTACTTCGTATTGAGCACTCTTTTAAGAATAGTAATTGGTGGTTATTGGAATTCATTCCGTATATACCAATTATATACTTTGTATGTATATATATATATATATATATATATATATATATATATATATATATATACGAGATGTAACAGCAAAATTGTCTAAATCGTGTAAATGTATATATATATATATATATATATATAAAATTCCAGGGCCATTTTCCAACTTATCCAAGATGAACTTCGCCGTCTCAAACCTTCTAACGTTCTATCCCGGAGTAACATGTTACCTCACACACTTCATGTCCGATTTTATTTTCAACCTTTCTAAAACTGCACTTTGGACTGTCATAGCTGAAACTCATCTCTCATGTTCCAAACGTTTTCTGGATTGAGTTGGTTCATTTCTAATTGATCACCTTATCTCTGACTTGCAATAATGATCCCTCTTCCTGATGTGACAGGTTTCCTATCTACTATTCCCTCTTTTTTCATCTTATTCAACGTCTTGAATGAACTTTTGAAGATAAAAGCAAGAGTATGAATGTTGCTAATATTACTGAATGCCTGAATGATATTTTTCCGTTCCCCATTGCTCAGTTGGGAAAATTTTAAGGCAATTTTAAATAACTATTTTATATGAATAACTATATATATATATATATATATATATATATATATATATATATATATATAGACAGAAAAAGTTCATTTTCTCCAACAAAAGACATTCATTTCTGTAGTTCCCTGCCAACAGCAAGCAGAAATATTTCTCCTCACGATGATGGCCATTTCGGTCGAAACTAGTCGAGGAATCTAAATAGAACAATAATAATAAAAAAAACGAAAGAATATTAATCTACAACCCAGTGTGTCTAATGATTTTAATTTTTTAATTTTTTAATTTTCAATTTTAATTTTCTATTGTTCAAAATATATAAATATATATATATATATATATATATATATATATATATATATATATATATATTAATTTAAAGAATAAACAGGCCACTTTTTTTTCTCTTTTTCTTTAAATTAACTTTTTCTTTAAATTAAATTATTCGATCTGACTGAACATTGAGTTCTCCAGATTTCATCCTCCTTGAGATTATCCATCAGATACCAATATTTTTTAATTAATTTTATATATTTTATATATATATATATATATATATATATATATATATATATATATATGATGACCGTGAAAGGTTGGTTGAAACACTGAGTCTATAATAAAATCTATATCAAACAAAGTAAGAAGAACACTTTGAAATATGATTTAATATTGACAATTATTCATTTTAGATATTAAATTGTACATAGTAGAGAGATAGGTACACACTGAGATAGGTAGATACATATGAATAGACTGAAATAGACAGATAGACAGATATGGATACAGATAGATAAATAGATAGAGAGATATGATAAAGATATAGATAGATATATAGATAGATATATAGATATGAACAGATTGATATAGAGTCAGAGTGAGAGACATGAACAGATGAGCTAGATAGATAGATAGATAGATAGATAGATAGATAGATAGATAGATAGATAGATGTCCACAGACTTTGATGTTTAATACTGAGACCACAGATCTAACAAACTCAACACATACATGAAACCCCAATAGCATTTTATTTCTTTGACTATATTGGTTGCTCCTTAGTTCAAAAGAAAAAAAAAGTTTCAGAGATGTCAGTGTTTACATTAGACATGGATTTTGAAATAATAAAATAGTTGTACTTGAGCAAATAACACCAGGAATAAAGATAGACCATATAAGGACAAAGGCAGAGCTATTTAAATCTCTTTCCTGATTTCAACTTTCTCCTGGATAAAGTTATTAAAAATTATGTAAAATATGTTAATAAAAGAAATGACATATCTTCTGCGTCAAATAAATCTAAAATTATCTCGACAAATACATTAAGGTCACAATGACTTATTTCGAAACTAGGTAAATAGATGTAAGTGTTTGAAATTTAAGCCACACAACAATACACACTGAAGTGAAAAGAAACTCAACCAGGACATAGCAACACCATAGCATCTCATTTCGCTATTGATGACTCTAAAGATGTGTTAGGGAAAATGACTCTAAAGTTGCAACAAACTTGACAAACACATCAAACAATTATGACATCTCCTTCTCCGGACACATCTTACCTCACAACAATCTAAATGAAGGAAACTGTTTAAAATAGAAACCAAAGATCTATGAAAGTTAACGAATATATGAAACCATCATAGCATCTTATTATATGATTATATCTGTCACTCCTGAGTAAAAAAATCAATTTTCAGGTATGCCAGTATTTAAGTCTGGCATGACTATCGCAATAATAAAATTAATGTACTCGACCAAATGACAACAGGAATAAAGATTATCCACGTAATGATAAAGGTAGAGCTATGTAAATTTAAGTCACATATATGCACAAAAATACGAACTGAATCGAAAAGAAACTCAAGCAGGACATAGGAATATAGAATCTCATTTTGTTGATTATATTGGTTACTCCTCAGTTCAAAAGAATTTTTAGATGTATAATTATTTAAACTCCTAATGAGATGTCATTCACTGCAATACACAATAAAGCAATATCAAGCTCAAACAATTCATGGAACAAATAACGCTCCTTCGTTCATTAGAAAGAAGCAGCAACACATTTTACAAATACATGGAACCACCATTGCCCCGTATTTCGTTGTGTACACAATCTGCTACATAGTTCAAAACTATATTGATGTAACTGTTTTAACTAAAAGACAGCAGTTTTGCCCTACAATTTACAGTGAATATAACAAACTTTATTCGTTTATTCCAATGCTTTCTCTTAATTTCAAAACGACCATTAAAGATGCAACCGTATAAATAAGAAAAAAAAGATAATTCAGTATTTTTATTTCGTTTCTGTGAAGCACAAGTTCAACAGGAAAAGACATAACTGTTATCACAGGGATAAAACATCACAATAATCAACAGATACCCCAATGTCAGGCAATCAATTGTCTCTTGATGATGACAAGAGCATAGTTGGTTGAAAAGTTGTGTTTATAACAACATCTATATGAACCAAGATGAGAAAATTAGTTCGAAATAATGCTAAAATATTGACAATTACCCATCTCAGAAATGAATCGATATAGGAATTTTATGGAAAACAAATGCCACCTTAACTAAGCTGTTGCAAGTCGCGAACATGTTTAACGACATTGTCTTGTCTCATTTCAGGCAGATTTTAAAACGGAGATAAAAACTAACCTCTCTCTGGACAGGTTCTTAGTGAGAGAGAGATCCAGTCTATCTCAACTAGGTCTTAGTGGCAGAGAGAGAAAGAGAGAGAGAGAGAGAGAGATAGCGAGAAAACAGAAATAACCTCAGAAAAGAAATATTCACCTGAAGTCTTTATAAAGGGGATTCCCGTTCCAAGCACCTATTAAGTTTAAAAAAATAAATAAATAAATTATGTTTAACAAGAACTTTTTTTTTAAAAAAAAAAGAATATATCTATATTTGTCAAGGAAACTTTACTTAAAAAAACGCCAGAACATCCCAGAAAAAAATTTACCCGAAAAAAAAAGTCTTGCTGTTTTTAATATCTGAAATGACAGTATTACATTATCTTTGACGCCCAGAGCCGAAGGAGACAAGGAAAAAGAAAAAAAAGAACAAGGAAAGGAAATCACGAGAAAGAGAAATTCCCATTGAACACATTCGCGCGCGCACACACACACATACACATACACAACACAAAACACACAGATCAAAAGGGGAAAAATCAACCTCACCCCAATAACTAGCGCACAAATTAATTTTCAGCTTGATATAATTTAAGGAAAATAAGAAAATATGCAGTCAAATGCTGGAGCCTCCTGACGATTAGGTGGACTGATTACTAAATGACTCTGCCTTCTTACGATAAGAATATCCTGTCATTGTTAAACGGAATACTTATCAGTTAACTCACTACTACAAACGTTATACGTTGAAGACAAAATAGCCACTTATGTACACGAATTACAAATATAACCTAGTGTACACCGAGAAAGTTAATGAAAATGAATCCGATACCTCTCTTGTCTGAATGATTGGATTTCTCTGTATCCTTGGAAACAGTAAATTATGAATTTATAAGTTCGTTTAAAACTCAGTAAATTTA